CCTGGAGTAGGCTGAATACTGGGCAAGCATTATACCGGGTAGGCTACCGGGGGGGAGGGGCCCTTTTCGAACCGGGTCTAAATGGTCGCCGTCCCTTATGTTAGCCATGTGCGCCTGATAGGGCAGCATCAACTAGTATACTCCCCAGGGAGCTGAGATGGTTTCAGGAATGTTCAGTTGTTGTGAGCCCAATGTGCAGGGATAATGATTATACAGCGTCTTGAGCATCAGTTGTGATGGATATGTGCACAATAAGAATCAGCTATTGTTATTATTATTGTTATTGTTTACTGACCAATTACAGCCATGATTGATGCCCGACATGCGTACACAATAGTCCGACATGTCTGATTCACACAGCTGTAACACATAATGTAGCAGAGAAGAGCATTTGTCAAGTGCCCATATGCACTGTGGGCGGGGCTCACTGAATAAAGTGGTATACAGCTTGATACTTGCACCGAGTCCATTGAGCTCACACTGAATATTTATCAATGAAACTGAATGTTCATAGATGAAGCTGAATATTCACAAGTACACCTGCATGCATCATTTTTTTTTGTGTGTGTCCAGCCTTCTCTTGCCTACCACACCAGTGCAATCTTGGCCAGCTGCTTAGACACAGCCACCCTTCCCTACAGAGTCGTTGATGATCCCATCTCACTCTCCGTCCTGACTGAGGCTCTGGGAAACCTCGGGAGAAAGGTGACGCCCCTTTCAATGAATAAGATTATAAGGTTTTTTAGTTAACGGGACAAGGTAGCCCTTGTTTTTATCTTCGATGGCTGATTTGTCCGACATGGCAGGTAGGTTTTCATGACTGTTTTGTTGAAAGTGTTGTGTCAGAAGGAGCCTTGGCTGTATGTAATTGGCTTCAAACTTGCATTTTAGCTAAATGTTTGCTAGAAACCAAAACAAGTCAGTATAACCGAAGGAAAAAGAAAAAAGGCAGGAACAAGAAACCCCTTTATTTTCATACTTGGCCTTATCTTAATATGCTGGAGTTCCAGTGTAAGGATGCACTATGTATGCACATTCATTCCAACATGTTCATATGTTGTTTAGATGGCACACAACTTATTCTTACCTTCATTCAACCAAGTGTCCATCATATCTCTGTCTTAGGCACCACTGAGAAACTTGCAGAAGTTCCTCACACCTGCTTTGTTAAGTATGAAACCCTTGAGAATTTTGTTTCTTACCACTATGTGAAATGATTTGTGTCTGTGGTTGTTTCTGTAGGTTTCAATGCTGTCGACATCATTCCCTCTGCCGTTCCCCGACCATGGCTACCTGGCCAGTGTGTTGGGCGGATACACCCAGCGGCCCCCCTGGACACCCCTGACACCCCACACACTCAAAGGCGCCGTGGTCCAACCGTTCGCCCAGTCAGTCGTCCTGCGGGGTGCACCCATGGATAGATTGTACATGTAAGTGTCCAGGACATTATGAAGCAAGAGTTTTGAGGGGTACAGAATTGGAATTTTTTGTCTCCTTGTAAGACGTTTCTTCTGGCAGCTACGGCAACTCTTCGGTAATAAGAGGATGTTTTGTTGTGTGTGCATTTAGGCCCGGTAGACAGCCTCAGAATGCACTGGAATCGTGCCGCTCTGTCAATGAGATGCTGAAATGCTACCTGACTGGGATGTACACCAGAACACTCAGGTAGGCGATAGCCTCATTCTCATGTCTTTGTCAGTTCCCACTCACCCCTTCCCCTCATCCGGCTTGGCGTGAAACTTTGGGTCTTTCTCGCAAGCCTCACACCTCGTCATCATTCAATTTCTCATGCAGCTCAGGCCTTTGCGTCAACCAGCCTCTGAAGACTGCTGCCCCGTTCCCGCACATCTTTGATCCTCGGATGAGCCAAGAGGGTTTCATCCAGGACTGGCAACGCCGAGAGGAAGAAGGCAAGTGCAGTGAGTGCTTGACATGTCACAGTTTTGATTCCTCAAACAATCTTGTGACTAAATTCTAATGGCAGTGGCCGGAAAATGCCATCTGTACCAGTCTACATATTTGTTGTACAGGCCAAGACATCTGCCACAAGCAGGACGCAGTACTTCCCATAGAATACAATGTTCTTCAAAAGATGAATGAATGTTGCATTTTACTATAGTTTCGAAACCTCTCTGTAGAACCAACTTGAGATTGAGTGTTTCAGACCACAATTTTTAAATATTGAGGGGAGGGACTGGTATGGAAGTTGAAGAGGTAATTAAGCATGTTTTTTCAGGCATGCATCATTGTACAAAGTCCTATGGGGCACACAATTTACTTGATTCTTCTGATTACCTCTTGTATATCTGTTCTACCCCAACATTGCTCTCATGAGTATGATCACACAGAGCCATATTGGCTCAACTTGCACAACTTAGTCGCCTGGAACTACATGTATTTAATTTGTTTATCTATTTAAGAGATAGTGATAGTACCAACAAAATTAATAGTTATTTGAGTTCATACACATTCTGTTAGCCAGCCAGTGCCATTTTTACATTCTTTATACAACAGGGGGTTGGTGAAGGAATGTGCACTTAGCCCCTGGAGACAAGGCTAGTTTTGGCCTCACCTCCTTCCCGATATTATATCTGCTTTTGACGCGATTACATTTTAAACTGTCTTCCTGTCCAGCGGTGGAGAGCATTCCGATGATGACGTCCCTCCAGACCTCACCCGCTGCCCAAGAGATGCTGTCCCACCTGGTGAAGGAAGGTAGCAAAGTGGACGTCCGCAAGTGCCACGGCTTCTTCGAGGACGGAATGGAGCAGGATGAGTACAGCGAGGCACTGGGCAGCCTCGAGAGCCTGGCGCATTGCTACGAGCAGTGCCCTTAAGAAGCTCTATGGTGCGGGAGTTCAGGTACCAGACTCATGAAACCTAACCTCCGCCCTAAAATGAAAATGATAGATCCAGCTGTCAGTATTCAGATCCTAGGTCACAAAGTTGGAAACTGAGTTGCACAATATCTAAGGCCAAGTTCTTGACAAAAATATTGACAGAGATTTCCCTGAAAAAAAATCTGCAGAGTATATCCATCTTCAAAATAAATGATAGGAATTGACTAAGTTTTTAAGCTTTCCAGCCCAGTGTTGGTGGGTCTAACTTGCTTAATGACAAAGGGGACTCTGTTTTAACCGTGGTCAAATAAGGTGTCCATTTTAAAAAGTCTGGTTTAGTTTTTTAAGAGTATTACAAAGACCTTGTACCAGTTTTACCAATTTCATCACTTTCCAGGGTTTGAATCAAAGAGGGGGAGCATTGCATATTGATTGACAGAGCAACATTTTCATCACAGATTGATTTTTTGCCATTCTAGTTGATATTCCAAGCGAGGTTTAAAAGGATTGTTAACACACAACTCTTTTAATAGTGTCATTTGTGCATTAACCACTTACTGCTGGGCGACCCGTTTTCGAGTACATAGGCTTTATATGCAGAGCTGGGGAGCCGGAAACTGGGACAAAAGAGTTGGGCCTTATAACAAAAGATCGTGCTCAGCACAAAAGACTGAGCTGCTGGGCATCACCAACATTTTTTCACTCTCAAAAGTGGAGAAAATCCTGCTTTGTTTTAAAACAGTCTACCACGGTTTGAGGCATTTAGAGCGAGCGGATTACCACCGGGGACAAAAGCTCTCCACCACCACAACAATGAGCCACACAGCACCGCTGCACGCTAATCTGGCCCCTATTGAAAAGAGGTCAGTAGTGCACTGTGCCGGTTTTGGGAACAAAAAGAATCTTAAGTAACACCGCACAATCTGGGCTCTTTTTCCAAGGCTGCAGGCCTGGCTGAAATATTCAGGAGGCAATGAATTTTACCTGTCAGCTTTAGAATAGTGCCCAAAGAGTCCTTTATTTTGGTATAAATGGCCATTAAATGAAATGATGAATTTTTCAAGAACTTTGAAAACGAGAAATCTTTAAAATGAGCCGTCATCTTATCTTGCTCAAGAAAAATCCACCCGGCAGCAAGTGGTTAACCCCCCTCGATCCTTCACCTATTAGAAGATCGAGGACCTAGGGTTAATCTCTGCATATTGCTGCATGTATGGTACAGGGTAATAGTAAAATCTCTTGGGATGTGAAAAATGAACATGGAATATTGTCAAGGCCGGAGCTAACCTCGAGAATGGCGAGGCACCCCATAGACGGTTGTAGACATTTTGTTCATTTCCGTGTGCTAAATGCAAGAATGCTTCATAGTTGTGAAACTGTAAATGTATATCCTTCTTTCCAAGTTGCTATAAAATGGTATTGAAGGTGTAAAGATAAGACCTTTAAAAACTCTTAACTGGCTGCATCCAAATTCGCTGGACTTGCGTGCCCCAAGTTGAAGTGCACCCTCGGCGGCAAAGGAGTGACAGGCTTGTGGGAGGTTTTTCAGCTGAGCTGGTGTACGGGATGTGAAGACCGTATATTCGGACTTAAATTGGTAACGTATACTCACGGCCCAACCCACTCCACATGCGCACAAACCTGTACCCTTCACGCGGTGAATCCCCACCAAAAGACTCTTGTTTCCTTGTGAAAGCACACCCTCCCTTGTTCCTTGGAACAGAAAGAGAGCAACCTGAATTAATGTTCTCTTTGCTTGACTGATCTTGACTCCATCTTCTTTCAGTTTCAAAATCTGGACCACAGGAAACAGAAACTAGCCTCTCTTTTCTTTCTCTTCTGTGGCACTCTCTTAGACAATGCTACCACCTAAAGATATACTACTTGGTGTGGTTTGACACATTGCCAGTTACCCAATTGTAGTGTGTTTTTGGTTGAGCTGGCCTTCTGTAAGTAACCCTGTCATGTTAAATCATTGCACTTTTTCAGTTTTTGCTGTGAATATAGTGCACACTGCATCTTTCACATTTGTCTCCTGCTATTTGTACATTTCATGTATTTAAAATGTTTTCTTTTGCTGTGCAATATTAACTCTCATTATAGTTGCTAATTTTGAGGAAATCTGGAAATATGGTCTGGCAATGAAATTGAATTATCTAACATGCATGAAATTAGTAGTTTTATGAGGGAAGCTTTTCAAGTTCTGATGTTTTACACATTTTGAAAATGGTGTTACTGTTATATCAATTTTCTTTTCTTTTGGGGGCCTTATTAGGGTACAGGCCACTATTGAAAGGTATTGATGAGAATGAACAATAAACGTTTTGTCAAAGTTGTGTCTTGGTGACAAACTGTTCATGTAATTATTGTGCATGATCGTCACTGTATAGAAAAATCAACTTTGTGAATTTTAAAAAAAAAGCTGCTTAGGAAACAGCAGTTGAAATCTTGGACCAAGTCGTGCTTCGTGGAGCTTTTCAGCGTGTTCTCTATTTCTGCAGTTCGGACTACTGTTTGATGTGTGAGTAGTCTGTGTCTTGTATGTGTATTTGTGTGTCATCTCTGTTGCCTGACTCAGTTGATCTGAGACATGTTAGCTAATACATATATGTATGTTGTTATATGTATGTTGTATTGCCCACAGGTGTATATGTACATTAAGCTGCTGTACATACTTTAAACTGCTGTATCTTACATAAGAGCTTTTCCTGACATTTTGAGGTTATTCAACAAAATGTACAGATTTTAGTTTTCTTCTCAAATTTCTTCAGAAAAGATTTCAAATTGTTAAAATTTATACCCTGAAAATGATTAACCCCTGACATATTAGCCCTCTTTAAAATTCATTTCGATCATGTGTAGTCACTGCCTGGAATGAGTTTATGTGCGAGCCTGGTTCCCAGATCAAATGATTCTGATGATTTTGGAGATTCTTCAGGTCTGGTAGTCGCAGGCGGATATAGAACCGAAATGGGAGGAGTTTCTCTCCTTTTTGAAAACAATTGAAATAGTGTAAAATTTACCATTTCCTAATCCCTGTTTGTTTTTCAGATAGTCGTTAATAATCTGAAATGTCTATAGTATAAACATGTAAATCGCTGCTCTGCTTTCCCCACATGCCATGTAATTCTGACGCCTTTCCTAAGTGTTGTTGCTCACTTATCGTCACTTTGCTTAACTTCAGATAACGGTGCTGCATCCCAGACAGAATGTCACGAATCTTGCATTGTATCATGTCCTGTTCTGGTCATTGTTGGCCACCAGACCTACAATTTATTCTCATTAAAAGGAATTGTCAGGTCAGGGAAACAGATTACCAGACTGCCAGCGTTTAGTAGCTGCTTAGATGGAGAAATCTTCTGTTCTAGCGGACTTGGTGAAGCACTGTGTTTATGTATGTTTTCATGAAAGAAAAGTTGTCCATTGCTGAGGCCAATTTTTAATCCATTTTTTTTGTTCTGGTAAACTGCAGTTTCCAAAATAAATGATGAGAAGGAATATATATTTTCAAAATTCCTCAAATACTAACCCAACTCACTAATGTGTTCTTTCTCCTTGAATGTAAATCAAGAATGCTTCATGTACATGTATATTTCCCGGATAATAGTTTTCAATACATCATATTCCTTATTTTGAGACACCAAAAATCTGATTTTACCCTGTGAGGTACAGTATGCAGGGTTTCATTATTTTGTGCTTACTTGACATACTGGACACCCCTTCATTTTGTTTTCACCCTTACTCAGTCCTTAGCCATAGTAACCATTTCTGGATGTACATGTATTACGTTAAGTGTGATTTTGCATAAAGGCAAAACCAAAGTATTCATGTATGGTACTGTCAGCTTGTGGCCAAACCATGGTTTGTAAGGCATAGAGGTATTTTGTGTTCTTGTATCTAACAGGCTTTATGGTACCGTATTGTATAGTAAATTTTGATTTCCATGGTGAGGTGTGGATGGTGGGTTTACTTTTCCCACAGATTACTTGCTGTTTGCTTGTACATTTATCTAAATCTATTTATTCGAAATGCCAAAGTATTTGTATATACATGCATCTTGTTATTGTGTATCTTTGTATGTGCCTCGTCAGCTGATGTCTGAACCGTTTACATTTGATTCATTGTGGAAAAGTACTACTGTAGCATCATTATATTGAGAAGCTTGATTCATTTTTTTAGTGCACATATGGAAACAAAAATTATAGTAGAAGTGTTTTTTTTTAAATGTCGAATCAATGGTGTTTACAACCTTTTCATTTGAAAAACTTAGAATTTCCAGTATCCATGGTGCTATCCTTGGTTTAACTAACTGCACTGTCAGAGAAAGGTGCTGATAAGCCAAAGTACATGTCTCAACGCTGAAAATAATTCAGTAACTTCTGATTTGAATGTTTTTGAATGCCAGTACACTAAGCTTCCAATCTTACAAAGGCTTTTCCAGTTACAAGTGTCCTAAATGAGCAGTGTGGCATATTGATGTTTGCATTGTATCAAAATGTCTATCCAAAAAAGTTACAAGCAAACATACTGGTACATTACACTGATGGAAAGATATCTCCTGCATCCTGTGAAAATTGACTGTCCAAGCTTTATTTACAATAAAAATCACCCATAATTATGTGGTAACAGTTTGAGTTCAAATTGAGTATTTTTGGGACCAAGCTCAGAGCATTGTTTTCTGGCAGGAAAATGTTTCTCCCTGCAATTCTTGGTAAACAGAGAATGAAGTCTGTAAACATCCCACCACTACAGCAGTGTGCCGAAATTTCTGTCTATACTGAAGACAACAGACATTTTGTTGTGACTTGATGATCTCTCAGATTGTCTGCATTGACGGCATACATTTCCCATAAACCTTTGTGATCTACCAGTCTTTGATGCTGGGCTGTCAAAAGAAAAAACTGCTGTCTACGGCTTTGGCTGTCCCCTTGAAGTATTAATGGCAATCCATCAAAGCTGCAGCCACAAAGTACCCAATTTCCAGCTTGGAACCAAAGAGGGCCTACTACTAAATAGCGTGGTAGTGGAAGATGTTACAGAATGCAAAGCATCTTAAACATGTAGACCAATCCAATGACCATGGTAACCCTATTACTAGTCATTTGCAATCGCCCCCACCAATGGCAGTAAGCACTGTGGTTAATAACACTACCACTGTTCATTTGCAGTGGCCCCCACCCATGGCAGTAAGCACCGTGGTTACACTACCACTGGTCATTAGCAGTGGCACCCACCAATGGTGGTAAGCACTGTGGTTTACTAACACTATCACTGGTCATTTGCAGTGGCCCCCACCAATGGTAGTAAGCACTGCTGCCTGGCAGTCGATATGAACCGTACACCACAATGCTCTGTCATCAAAGGGTTGCCATCAGGAATATCCAGTGGAGTGTCACTGGATTCATCTGTTGGGCTATGCATTGACCTAGGCCCTTTGCAAGTCTACGTGTACATGTAATTTGAATATCTGATGCACTAAATTGCTTTGAAACTAAAAAAAATCTCTTAGCGAAAGACACTACATGTACTTGCAAAAGTTACACAAGTTAGGGCAAGTCCTCATTTCTTACAGAAGCCAGACTATAATACACTGTTTGAAATACTGACAATGACAGACACCATACCATTCCTAGACCTGGAGGTTGCTGCTACATATAAGAAGCATGCCTTCAGTTGTACAGTACAGCTTGCTCAATCACACAAAAAAAACCAACATGTACACAAAGTCACAGCTACTGAAACGACCCAGCCATAAATGAGGTGGGGAATTGAACCAAGCACACGTCCGTTAGTAAAAAACACATACATGTACAGAGCACATCTTCTTATGACAGGGACCACGGACAAAATTTCTTTTGTAATAGGAAACTGAACATGGAAAAAGATAAAAAACTTTCCCCTATAAAACATCTTTTGTCCAGAGATTCTTTGCCTAGATCCTGGAAAAGTACATACATGTACACTGCTTTGATTAGTTTCTTTTAAAAAGGGGAAGACTATTAAAAGTTCTAATTTTGGTGAAATCCTGATCTTAATTCAGTCATGACAATTAATTAGAATGCCTGGGGACAACAACAATTAGACAAATTTTTTTATCTAACAAGCTCTGATAATCGTATATTGGACCATTATAGGGAACCTTAAGGTTACAATACCTGCAACAAACAAAGGGAGAGACTTCTGGTCTGGTACAGGTCCCCAATTTCAAGAGGCTAAAACTCAGCAAAAATACATGTTGGACAGTTCTTAGATAACGGATGCATGGGACAGCTATCTTACATTTCCACCATTTAATGCAATGTAACCAAATTGAGGGCTGGAAGGAAAAAACAGTCTGTTCCCCTTTATTAATATGTGAAGTTGTATTACTATTGTTGATGCGTCTACAGGGAACAAGACAAACATGGCAGCATCAAAATGGAGGTCTATATCCTTACCTTCAAAGCCCCAAAAGCCATGAGTCATTTAAAAAGGTACATTATTTGCAGTGAGGAGTAGCATTTGATTTTAAATCAATCAAAGAGGTCAAGATGAAAAAACAAGGAGTCAAAGTCCCCCCTCAAAGATTTCAACTTTATGATCCATGGTGGTGTAGGTACAATCATTATACACCTGACCAGCAGGACACTTTGATGGCTCTTTGAAATCAGAACCTGGTAACATTATTTCATGTGACATCATGCTATAATGCCAACAGGTTCTTTCAGCTAGTTCTGTAGCCTCTTGAAATTGGGGATCGATACTAGTTACATGTATTAAAGTAAACCTTGTGTTTCTCTCTTACTTTCCTGCAGCAAGCTTGTATTCTTTAAGAAATTCAAGTCCCCAGATAATCATTTGTTGCTACATGACGACAAAAATACTTGATACCTTGGAAAAAAACTTATGGTAGTGTAATATTTTGACGCAAATAATCCTCTATTCATCAAGTGATTCTACAGAGAGTAAAAAAAAAATTAAGATGAGAGATGGATTGGTTAAAGGGTCTATGGAAGCCAATTGTTTTACTGCATCCTTGAAAATACGCCTTCTTTTCACATTTTGTTTTGCTGCCATAATGGGTATTTTGGCACCTTTCTGGTTTTTGTGCTGATGCAACTTTCCATGTACATGTTTATGTGCAAAACTGTTATATCATCTGAGGGAGAAAACCTCAATGGTGCACTGTTCTGTTCATAAAATCCTGTTGATTTTTCATATTTTGCTGCAATAAATTTCCTTTGTTATATACTGTTGTGTGCACGTACCTGGCAACAAACCAGTGAGCAACCCTTGCAAGGAAATGACAGACCTACATGTACATGCAGCAACCTTGCTGCAAGTGTTGTAGTCAAGACCATCACAAGATAAGATACAAGACCAGGGACAAGAAAAGGCACATGTAACAGGGTGAACAATGACAAAGGGTCTTTTGTTGCAGTCCACTTGAACAGCTTGTGGCTTGAATTCAGACTGGAGGTCTTGTGTTGGTCTTGTGAAGGCCTTAAGTGGTCTTGATGACAACACTACTTGCCGCACTCCTTCCTGAGGTCAGGCATTACCACACAATATATTAAAAAAATATTTAAATGCGCCTTCATTTCATTCAACATTTTAATCTACTGTGGTAATGCCTGAACTCAGGATGGAGTACGATATGTTGGCAGGTCTGAAATGAGCAAATCCTGGTTCACGATTTCAACAGTGTCTTCACTGATTGTACCATCATAGCAACAGTGCCCTCAGTAATCCTGAACAGCGTGGACAATTTTAAATGTTTAAAACAGGCACTTTTCTATATGTTCAATCCCCACAAAGGATCTCAAATACATATATATGTACATGTAGCTTTCATGCACTGAGGACTATCTGGATGCACAAAACGTGTCTTAGAAAAAATCATCACCTAAACCCTTCACGTCACCTTTACTGGTCCCGACATGCACAAAAGTGGTCATCTGAATTGTAATATGCTCTGCACATGATTTCTCTTTTTAAAAGTCTACATGTATTTTTCGTTTTTCAAATTAGCCACGAAATTCTGTGTTAGTGTTTATTTACACGTGCATTTATGCACTCACACGAAGCAGTTCTGCCAGGGATGAAGCATGATTGATTGGAAAAAAAAATGTATGCAAGAATAGTACAAGCCATGTGAGTTAATTCGTCTCCATCAAGACTTTTTCAGTTGAGCTGTTTCTCTGAAATTGCACTGTTTTACTGTACATTACATTTGGCCCATCACTCGTACGGTGTACAATGCACCTCTGGTACAAGTATGTGAATAAATCCACATGCATTATCACATAACTTTTGTAACGTCATGACAACAGAAATGTTGCACGGTGTCATTCAAACAAAAGGGCTAAAATTTGCAATGGCAAAAACTACGTACAAATGCATATTATACAGTCGTATTTACAAACTCTAAAACGTAAAAAACAAATAACTTAAGTATGTACGAAAACAATGCAGCAGTTAATCAAAATTAATGCAAACTATATAAATCAATATATAAAAGCTTCACTCTGCCACTGAGTAGCAACATTCACTCCACTTAGAAACAAAACTCGGCTTACAAAGGAAATGATCTGTTAACCTTAGAAAAATTACATGAGTAAGTCACTTTTGGTTCAATTCTATCTAAAGACATTTAGACAGATTATTTCAATATTCAAAAATGTTGTTTTTAAAGTTTTTTCCAACAATGCCTGGTCCTCCAAAAATGTGAAAAATGAACAAAACTCTACATAAAAAATATGTACATGTATACCAAAGTAATGCTTGGTAAATTCCAACAGTGATTTCAAATAACCTCCAAAGAACACCCAAAATGGACCACGTCCAGTTGAATGATCCAACCAACAATGTGAGATGTACATGTACATTCCCCAGTCGGATAGTTTTCAGTTAGTGTTCTCCAATGAACATACAGGCACAACTGTACATACATACAAAAGTATTGATTCACTTCAACACTGAAGGGGCAAGAATTTTCGGACCACCTCACAGCCAGGATCCCCCTCCCCCGATCTTGGCTCTCCCATGAACAATGGTTTTGAAACTTGACATGCAAGTACATGTGTAATGTGTACACATCCATTGCGAGTGTGAATGTACGTGTACATGTATCTCTGAAGTTCAATCAGACATGTTTGTTGTTACAGTCATTTACACTCTTTATCTCAAAAAACAAAACGGTATGTCAAATCTTCACAAAAATGTGTCAAAATGGTACGATATCACAAGATTTCAGCATGAAAACTCTAGAAAGCTTGAAAAATATACACTGTAATGCTATTAGAGAAAATGCACAAAGAAGGGGTAGTTACCAACTTCTTCTTTCAGGCTCTTTCAAAATGAAGTGCCCTTAATTGTATGACAGTAAAACTGCCCTGCTGCTCACCCAGGTACAAGTACATGTACAGTTCAGGCAACTCTATCAACCCCAGCAAAACTGTGTACCCTCTTTTACAAACCATCCCCCCTTCGCCACTTCCCTCACTTTCCCTTTTGTATCCACGTACATGTATACAGTAGTACATTGCAACTGAAATTTTACACTATGAATGGGAATGGGAAATTCTGTGAAAAGAATCTGCACACACATTCACATTTCACAAAATGAGAAAATATGTGCTTGCCCACTGGTGTAAAAATGCATGCAAGTATTTTCCCACTGTTGTGAAAGAGTGTGAGACTCTTATCCCACTCTGGCAAATTTTCACAATTTGTGAAACAAAAATGATTTCCCATGGAAGAGAAATCCGAGCAAGAATTTCCCATTCCCAGGTTGACTTTCACTTGCAATGAACAGTACAATGTACGTGTACATGTACAAATTGGTGCTTTAATTTCTCACTGAGAGTGCAGAAAACAGGGCTGTCTTGAATTCCAATCCAGACAAAGTTTGGCTCTGGCCACTGGCCACACACGTTTGATAGATCAACACACATTCGTTTTGATTAGTTTAAACCATTTAAGAATCTGTTTTTAACTTGTTCCTGATTTAACAATGGTTTAAATGATAACATGTTCACATCACGTTTTTGAACATGTGAACAAACTCTTGCTTTATTTTGGGCTATGTTCCCCCTGAATGAAGTGTATTGTGAATTCATACTTGTCTCGGAAAACTGCGCCACACTGATTACACTCAAAAGCACTCCGTCGGCCGTGGCAACCCATGTGCAAGATATACATCACGCTGTCACTGAAGATGACATCGCAGTGCTCGCAGGTGTAACTGGTGGTCTGCGTCTGGCCGGTGTCCAGATCTAGGCGAGTGTACGAGTCCCGCTTGACAGGGACTGCAGACTTTGTCTCCTCCTCTACTACCCCTGAGCTGCTGCCTGGCTGGGGTGCGGGATCCGCAGCGGGCATATCACGGGACAAGGGTGGCATCTGGTGGTCATCGCTGCAAGTGGACGCAGAGGCTTGCATCCTCTGCTCCCAAGGAACACTGCCAGCAGCAGAGGTTCCCTGCACCAGCAGGTGCCGGATTAAGGAGTCTGTGTTTAGGTTTGACTTGCTGGGGCCAATGTCAGACTGTCTGGAACTGGTGCTGCTGACGCTGGTGTGCTTGTATCCAGGAAGGGTCTTGATATCTGGTTTGATGTCAGGCTGGTCGGCCAGGGGGACTGTCTGCTGATCACGGTTGATTGAGGCCGCTGTCCGGTGTGAGCTGCTAGAATCTGTTGATTGATTGGAGCTGATGTCATCAGGGAGCGTGGTTGGTGGGCTGTGGTGGCTTTCATCTGAGACAAGCCTGACACGCTTCCTGGTGGGATTCGGGTGGTCAGGCTGGTGCAGGTGGCCTGATTGTGCCCAACGGAAGGATCTGACCTGCCGAGGTGGAGGGTGGTCCTCCACGTGTACTTGGGTTGTCATGACAGGTTGGCTATCCATCACTGAGGTTGGGTTGGTCGAGCTGGTGATGCTTTGGCAAGTGGATGCTGGCAGCTCAACATGAGTTGTCAGATACTGACGCAGGATGTCCTGTTGTCCATGACTGAATGAGAAATTGGACGAGCCAACAATGCCGGCTACAGTTGCAGTTGGGACAACCCCAACCCCACTGCCTACTCTATTTCCACCAGGCCTAAGAGCTTCTGACAGCCTGTTCATTCCAGCCCCTGAAGGGCCTGAGTCGTTGGTCCGCTGAAGTAGCTCCCGCACGGAACTTCCACTGACCTGACCAAGACCTGCTCCTGGAATTGGATGAATCCTGTGGCTGCCACTGATTCTATCATCACTTGTGGGCCAGTTAGTCCACGAAGGGTGTCTCTGCTGATCGGAGAGGGACTCGTCTGTTCTTTTTGCCCGTTTCCATGCTGAGAAGCCAGATTCATCTGGCTGCTTATTTGGACCCTGTCTAGACAGATAGCTTTGACTCGTGAACCAGTTGCTGTAGTCACTGAACCTCAGCTGTGGCCGGCGGCGAAAGCCTGGCTGCACCGGTGCAGAGATTTGAGGTCTGTGACTGTTGGGAGGCACTTGCTGAAGGGGAGCTTGTTGCTGCAGGTCCCTGCTGTCTGGGTCCGAACTCTGCTGCGTTGTTGTCTGGTCCACAGTGTTTGGCTCTTGGATTTGTTCAGCAATGTTCCTCAACATGGAACTAATCAAACCAGTGGAACTTTCAGGCGGTGTCTCTTCCCGCATGGGAGCCCTGGGCCTGGGTGGAATGACTTGGTGAAAAACTAAGACTGGCTGGCCACTCTTTTTGCCTTTCCTTGATTTTGAGTTGTCACTGTCACTGTTTGCCTGAGGGCTCTCATTCCCGTTTGATTCTTCCAGCATAGCCGATGGGCTGGACCCCTCTTGTTGAGGAGAGGAGGTTGGTATTTTGGTTCCTAGGTTGGAGACTCTCTTTCTCTTGGCCTTTGGACGAAGCAGTGTCTCAAGACGCTTCCCCTCTATGTTTACAAAGCTGACGGGCTTGCCCGTGAACTGCTTTGGAGAGTTCCGTGGCCGCAAACGCCTAGAACCTGGGCTGATGCTCAGCCTGCCAGGACTAATGCGCCTACTCCCTGGACTGACAATAGCTCTTGTATCAGTTGGCTCCCGCTTGACAGCGACTCTGACAAAATCTGATGCGGAATCACAAAGTGAGCCCATTTCTTCCCTGGGAGAATTTCTAACTTTAATTTTCAACCCCGGCCTAAGTTGCCTCACCCCTTCGGTTTCGCAGAGTTCCAGTTCACACAGGGATGAAGTTGGATTCTGAGAGTTCCCACCTTCGTACTCTGCTTTCATGTCTCTGTCCCTCGAGCTGCTGTCCATGTGTAGACAAGAATCAGTTTCAGATTCACCAGTATCTCCAACAGGGTAAGTGTGGCTTTTGCCTTGAGTTGCATTTTCAACTTCTGGGGATGCATGTCCAGAGCTGCATATTGTGTTTTCTTGAGTAGAAGCACTGGCATGGTTGGAAACAGTCTCAGCAGAGATAAACGCATGCGAGGCAGCATCCACCTGACACTGATCCGGAGAGGTTTTTACGGTGGAACATGGTATCTGTGAAGACAAAGTTTCCCCATATCTACATGTAATTTCCAATTTGGTACCATCGACCACAAACGGTGCCCTGTGTTCTCTGATTTCTGCACCAGGTGCCTGCGATTTCATCTGCAAGGCAAAAGGGTATGCCTGGGTCTGGCAGAAGTTGTGTTTTTCCACAGTGATTGAGCTGTTAGTTTTCGATCCACTTGCCACAAAATGCTCGGAGTCTGAACAGGTGATCACCTTACTCCGTCTACTGCTGTTTGTTGACGGTTGAAGTAAATGCTCCACGCTGTACTGTTGGACCGTGCAATTCCCTGTTTGAGTCGCCAAATCTTCCTGCTGTCCATCCTGTGAGCCGCATTCTCCATTTGGGGAGACATCTAGCCGTTCATCACGCTTAGCTGCAGCATGATCGCATGCTCCAGAAACTGAGCTTTTGGAGGTAGAGCAAGGGTGCTGCTTCTCCTGAATAGATTCATTGGCTGCCTGTGTTTGATCCTCAAGCACTGCATTATCCTGTACACCTACATCATTGCTGCTGGCCTGGTTGGTGGGTGTTACACTGTCTGGCAAGAGATGGTCTTGCTCCTCTTTATGAAGAAGCAGAGTTGATTCCTTGGTTTGGTCCAGCACCATTTCACCATTGTCATTGACTGATCCCACATTGTGGTCACTGTTATTGTGCAATGAAGGGCTGTCATCAACACTACCCTTATCATCCACTGATGTACATGTAGGTTGCTTACTTTTTGCACGATTATTTGGCCCTCCAACAAATTCATCATCGCATGCCTTGTCTTCTGGGCTACGACCTTCCATTCCAGTTGAAAAGTTGTCGGTGTGAAGGATTAACTGTGGACTTGTTTAAAATGATTTACAGGGATGACAAGGTCCCACAAATGCATCAGAGATGATGGGGGGTTGAAGTGTCATGGCTGATACAGTTCATGCTTTTAAAAGCTGCATGTTTAACAGTGCTTCATGTACATGTACGGTACACGTATTGGGAATGCATCAGGCCATTTCTTGAAATGACTCCACACCAGGACCCTCAAGAATCTGTGGAGAAATGGAAAGGACGCAGATTCCAATGGCCATCTGAAATGACTACCGTTTGTATTTTTAAAAACTCAGCTGCTAAAGCAAAATACTGTACATGCATTTCTCTGCAGGCAATGCTCAGCTGCATATTGACATCTTAATCTTTTCTCATTCTGTATCAGCTGAATGAAACATTTCAGACGTCTTTTTGGTAAATTGTAGCTACATGTATCTTCACATAATACATATAATCAACAAAATACTCCAAAATTTAAATGCAGATAAGTTGCGAGTATTCCAACAGGAAGTCTTGATTTAAATTTTTCAATTTTTCTTGGCATGTGTCACCAGGGAGGAAAGCAAAGGGATTTTCGCTTAAATTGGAAAGAACTGATTGTTTTATGAACACATGTAGAAATTTGTCTATATTCTAGCAATGCAAATACTACAAATGTACATTGCAACACCACATCTGAAGTTTTGAGAATTTGAATATTAAACAGCACTTTCAAAGTCAAGCATTTTTCCCAACTAGAATTTTTGGAACAGACTGCCTACATGTACTGGTATAATATATAAACTGAGGTTGTAATAGACACAACTCCAAGTGGATTGACTTCTGACGTTTGAAAATTTTGACATAATTTCTTCAGAAGGAAGCTTCAATACATGTACGGTAATTACCATAAAGGAACCCAGCTCATGAATCCAGCACAGCAACCAAAATTCATGCTCCACAGTTTTCAAAATTCATAAAGATTCAATTTCAAAATATTTTAGGAAACCAGGAACATTAACTGTTCATTGTGTGTAAAACAATACATACATGTATATACATGTGAATTATGACTAACTTTTAAGTGATGTACAAATGTGTACAATGTGAATATACAGTAAGTATGAATCAACGAAATGAATTGTTTTTGTATTATAACCACTGGAATACTGTGCCTGGTACCCACTTTACATAATGTATATGAGCTCAGGTTACAAGGCAAAATCACCCCCAGTTAGTCATGTCTGAATAAATATGCTGCAGCTGCAGTGAGCATCAAAGCACAAACCTACATGTACATGTAGTTGCTTCTGGGAACCTGTTATTCAAAGCAGAGGCTGTTGACAATGGTCACTGACAGAATGTGGCCAATTATTTTGCACTATTGGAAAATAGATTCAGCACTCAATACATGTATGCTCAAACTGAATGGAACTGGTCAAATTTCACTGGGCCTAATTTACTCACCAAAAAATGGTATGATATGAATGAGTTCCACTAGTTGTGACCAGGATACTGCCGTGCTTTACTTGGCCACTAAGTCTGCATTAAGTTAGTGGCTGACAATCATAACGATGCAGGTGGCCCAGGAAAATGGAAAATGAAGTCAGGTAGCCTGAATGTGTGAAAAAAAAGTTGGCAAAATTTTTACATGACAGAATGAAATCATATCCTAAACATATGAAGTTTGTTCCTTGTTCGACATTCAATGTTGAACAAGTAACTGCTTGATATTCCAACGTTGAAGAAGTAACCATTTGACATTCAGGATGCACACCCCTAAACATTGTGAAGTGCAAAAGGGACAAAAAATACCTAACTGCACCACCATACACATCAATTCACATGTACATGTACTTGTTTCCTTGTACAAAATGTACCTACCATTTTATAATACACAAACTCTCTCCCACAGAGGCAACCCCAGGCAAGGGGTTTTTCAGGTCAAACAAGCCTGGAAATGTAGGTGACAGTTTTTTGAGGCAATATAATTATTTGAGGGAAAATCTGCTGTTTTCATTTTAACTATTTCAGTCAATCAAACATTCATCAAGCCCCCGCCCCGGGTCTATTTTCAAAGTGTTTCTGTATACTGTAACCACCCTGCTGCCTCCATCTCAACCAGGCAATGCAGTTTTCAAGGGTCAAAACAGCTTCGAGCAAAGTCTTGTTGGTGGAGTTCTTTGTTTGCAAATGAAATAGGAAAGTGAATGCATCACACCACACATTTCTCAAAGTGAAATAAAATACCCAAACCACCCGTGATTACACTGAATTTGACCTCATTGTTCTCCTCAATCACAGACGCCTTCCTTGCAACCTGGGGCACGGGTTTCCGTGGTCAAACAAACCCTCAAGTTAACATGCCAAATGTACATGTAGGTGGTGCAATTGTTTTTGTCCCTTTTGCACTCCATCATTTTTAGGGATGTGCATCCTCAGCCCTTGTGGAACGTCAAACAGTTACATGCACTTATTCAATATTGAATATCAAAAAAAACTTGTTCAAATTTGCAAGTCAAACAGGCAATAAGTAACTAACTTCACACCACCGAGGAGTATACCGGTCATTCTGTAAACTCACGTTTGTGGGAGTGGGGTGGACGTTGGACCCCCCAGTTCTAGGGGTAACGCTAGGGGCCTTACCTATATCATACATACATGTATCTATACTCGGTTCCTATACAGGGTGTCATGTCCCAAAAAAAGCCAAACCCTGAGGAAAGGGGTTAAGATGCCCAAACCGTGAGATATTATTATAATGTATAAGGATCTCCGAAAAGTAGAAGTATTCTTTCTAATGATACTTGAATGATGGTATCCCTCCTGTCATGCGTGACTAAACACCATTGCCTTGAAAATGGAGCATCCAAACTCAGTTGTCATACTTTGGATAAACCAGTGAATGAGGTTGCTGTCTGTCATGCTTGTCCTGGTTACAAGTGACAACAAAAGGTCATGTTAATGAGGGAAGATTGCCTTTTGTCACTTTCAAGTTTTGCAATAATCTGGTTTAAATGTGTTGATTTGCCCCGAGGTAGGCCAGTGCAGTGTTGAAAAGTGTTCAAAGCAGGACAACAAGTCTGCAACAAGGTGCAACTTACCAAAGAGCAAAGAGTGTTTGTCATGACGAAATTTCTTAAAAACAAGAGCTTTCAAGCAACCCAAGCTGCATTTAGGGATGCCTTCCCTGATGGGGATCCACCGACAAAGTCAACCATCTGGGAAAATGTACGCAAATACCGAGAACATGGGACAAGCTTTAATTTGAATAATGGTTATTTGGGAAGGAGGCGTACAGTGCGAACTCCTGAAAACATTGCTGCAGTTCGACAGCAATTTGTCGAACAGCCAAGGGGAACCAGTTGCAGAAGGAATGGACTTGGACTGTCCCATTCTTCATTTAATCGCATAACGCAGTTAGATCTGCAGTTCCATCCATACCGAATACACATCTGCCACTTTTGCGCGGAGACCTCAGGAGGAGATGAGAGTTTGCTCAATGGCTCTTGGAACGCTGTCAGGCCAATGAAAGGTTTCTTGAATGGTTGGCAATCAGTGATGAGACAGCATTTTGGACGAATGGAGAAGTTAACACCTACAACAACGTCGAATACGCACCAAAGGGGCACCCGCCAAATTTTAACTTTAAACCAACATGAGTCATGAGGTCACCGTTTGGGTAGGACTGTGTGGGAATGGTGTCATTATCAGACCTTTATTTTTCGAACTGAATGTTAATGGTCGACGGTACTTGCACACGATCAACGAAGATGTGGTACCCCAACTTCAGATGCATTTTCAACAGCATGAAAATGCTTTTTTCCCGACATCTGTGGTGGGCCCAAGATGGGGCACTAGAGCACAGGCTCATTGCTGTGAGGAATCTTCTGCGGGAACTATTCCGAAATCGAGTGATTGCTCTTAACCATCCAATTGAATGGCCGCCCTGTTCTCCGGATCTCACGCAGTGTGATTATATTTTATGGGGGTATCTGAAGGAAAACGTTTTCAACAGTTCACCACGTAACATCAAAGACTTACGAGGTCACATTCAACAGGCGGTCGACATCTTACGACATGACCCTGCATTGGTGAGATGAGCTGTGGCTGACATGCGCATCCGTTGTGAACTCTGCATGGATAGGGAAGGCGGACACTTGGAAGGTGTCGGTGCTTAATTAACTGTGAATTACGTAATATGTAAATAATCGGTATGACCCTGATATCTTATCCAGGACAAGCATGAAAGAGGACAACCTCATTCACTGGTTTATCCATAGTGTTACAACTGAGTTCGGATGCTCCGTTTTCAAGACAATGGTGTTCAGTCATGCATGACAAGAGGGATACCATCATTCAGGTATCATTAGAAAATTATTGCTTCTACTTTTTGGACATCCTCATACAATATAATCATATCTCATGGTTTGGGATATTAACCCCTTTCCTCAGGGTTTGCTTTTTTCTGGGACATCCTCTATTATGGCAGTAACTCTATTATCGTGGCATCAGAAATTTTGAATTTTGCGTTGTCAGTGAGTTCCTAATCGGCAATATTCAGCCAGTTAATTAATAATTTATGGCCTGAAGAAGAGTTTTATTGAAATAGAAAGAAAAATTCTGCATGTTTTCGTACGTTTTGACAATTTTTACCCTGGGCGCTCAGGGCAATTAGCTAATAGTGACATAGGCATTATTGTCGCAATTTTCTTGCTTTTATAATACAATTTGAAGAATTTACAACCGATACTTAAAATTTGTAACATAAATTTTGAATACAATAACTCAGGTCTAATGAGATGGTTATAACTCTCAGAGAATGAGAACTCAGAAAGAAGATGTTTTTAACAGTTGTTTCAGACATTGATGAAAGAATGAGTCCACAAAAAAAAGATATGCAATACCCATTACCCACATATTTATTGAACAATCCTTCAGTAAAACACCAATTTAAGTAATACGATGAATTTCAAAGTTGTTGCTGCATCACAAGATTGAGGTACACAAGTTCTGAAGAAAAAATGAAGTCTTTCCTTTCCAGACTAAAAAGTGTAAGGTGATGCAGTGCAATTGTTCCCATCTCGTTCTCTCAAGAGTTTGGCATCTTGAAGAATGAGACTGCAAAAATGGAGTCAATTACAGGTAAAATGGAACAGTATCACAAAATGAAGCTATTTTGTTTCCTCTGAAATCAAAATTATTCGTTTTATCTTTATATATTCATCAACAAAGTGCTTTAAAGGCCACCGTAGAAGCTATTTCTCGATACTGCGATACATGCGTGTACTGTACGCCACCTCCGCTTGCATACGGTGTGCACACAGATATTCTAAGCTATCGTAGAGGAAAATGAATCGAACCACAAACAAAATTTTATGAAACAAATTAAAAGGTAAGAGTTCAAGAACAGCAAGGAAAGGATAATTCAGGGAAGTGAGCGAGCAATCTTTATTTCGATCAGGAAATGGGATAACTACGGTGATAATGATATATTAACCCATCCTACATGACGGCCAAGGCACTTGTTACGTTACTCGCCAAAGCTCTACGCTTTAAAATCAACCAAATTACACATTTAACCTCGCTTTATACAATCTATCGATTTTTCTAAATTAAAATTCATGATACCTTGCGAAAATAGCTTCATAATTACAAAAACATTTACCAATTTCTGCTTTTTGCGAAGGAAGATCATCAGTCATTTTCGAGTTTGACGCCATGTTTGCCAATCAATCTTTCATTACTCGGATGCCGGGTACCAGTTAGCCCGATTTCTACATTCTTGTTGATTCAGCTCAAGAACAGATCACCAGTGAGTGACCTTTCCCATAATTTATTAGGGATTCCCAGACCTTGGATCGTCTCCAATTCTTCTATTTATCGCCGATATCGACAAACACTAGCATGCCCGTGATATGCAAAATCCCCTCTTGGGATCCATAGCATACAAATCGACGTTCCTCTTGAAAAATTTGACGCTTTAGTGATTGGGGGTCAAAACCACGCGAAGCTAGAACACGTGTACTAGCCGATATTTTCAAGGGGATTTTCAGTGCGCACTTGAAGTTATGTGGAAGCCAAGTATACATGTACATGTACATGTACAGTACATGTACACTATTCGGTTCCTCAAACTCTATGATTGTCGTGGTATCCGAAATTTTGAATTTTGCGTTGCCATTGATCGAGTTCCTAATCGGCAATATTCGCCCAGATAATTAATAATTTATGGCCTGAAGTTAAGTTTTATTGAAGCAGAGAAAAATTGTGCATGTTTCCATAAGTCAGTTTTGACAATTTTTAATGAAAGATGTAATTTTTCCGAAATTTGTAAATTCTCCCCGACCCTGCCCGCCATTACCTACCGTCTTCCTCTTTAATACATGTAGTTATTTCCTAAAGCCACCTTGCCCTTGGATATCCGTTGCTGGGATCCCATCAATTTCGAAATAGCAAAAGGAGTCTACAGCCTGAGGCACATTTTAGATGCGAAAATGATGCCAGACTCGGAGGTCACGTCGTAGCAAGTCATTTTTGCAAGTCCAAGTCAAGTCACGAGTCAAAGCTGGTATATTTATAAGTCAAGTCACCAGTCACAAAAATAGCGACTCGAGTCCAAGTCACATTACTCGAGTCAGCAACTTTGGAAAATGCCCATTTTTTTCGGAGTCAAAATAATGGCTCCTGCGCTGAAAAACTTTTTTTGTGTGTGAAGCACACCCCCCAATCTCCGTTACAATGGACTTATATCAATCGAACTTTTACCCTATGCGCTCGGGGCAATTAGCGAATAATAACGTAAGCAATATTGTCGCAGTTGTTTTGCTTTTCTAATATAATTTGAAGAGTTTACAACGAATATTTAGAATATGTAACACAAGTTTTGAATTAAATAGTTCAAGTCTAATGGGATGATTATAACTCTCAGAGAATGAGAACTCAGAAGACATTTGTGTTTCAGTTGTTTCAGACATCGATGAAAAAATGAGTGTACCAAAAAAAATGCGATACCCACATTTCTACTATTCCTTCTATAAAACACCAATTTAAGTAGTTCGACGAATGTCAAAGTTGTTGCTGCATCATAAGATTGGGGTAAACAAGTTCTGATGAAAAAAAAGAAGTCTTTCCTTTCCGGACAAAAACGTGGAAGGTGATGCTGTGCAATTTTTCTCGTTCTCTCGGTGTTTGGCATCTTTAAGGAAGAGATTACAAAAATGGAGTCAATTACAAGTAAAATGGAAAAGTATCACAAAATGAAGCTATTTTGTTTCCTCTGAAATCAAAATTATTCGTTTTATCTTTATTTATTCATCAAAAAAGACATTTAAAGGCCACTGTAGAAGCTATTTCTCGGTACTGTGATAATAGAGACTCCAACGCATACGGTGCGCACACAGATTTTCTAAGCTACCGTAGAGGAAAATAAATTGATCCCATACAAAATTTTATGATTCAAGCTAAAAAGTAAGAGTTAAACAACAGCAAGGGTAGGATTATTGAGGAAGGTGAGCGAGCAATCTTTATTTCGATCGGGAATTGTGATAACTACCGCGATAATAACCCATCCTACGTGTGTTTTTGGCCCATTATGTCCACATGGCCCATTGTTTCCGCAAACTTATGTCCGCAGGCCCATGCGTCTGCAGGCCCATTATGTCCCTCCCATTGTGTCCGCAGGCTCATTCTATCCGCCCCATTGTGTCCGCATTATGTGACTGTTAATTAATAAAGTGCCTGTCACGTATTTTTCAATGTTGTTTTCAGAAGCTTTCTTTTTTAAGATTCCTTACAGGTATTTAGATGTAGGATATTATTCTTCCACAGTGATGATGGAATACGTTCTTCATTTTGTGTATCCACATGCGTGAAAACTTCCACTGCTCTGTGCTGGGTCATGTTCCTGACGGAAAATGAAACAAAAGTTCCATATATTATGGGGCAAAATAATACTGTGTTGATTACTTTGTGCACAAAAATCTCCGAAATATGGGTTAAAATTGCCAAAAATTTTACACCAGTTCTATTGAAACTCTAAGGTGCAGTTTCAAGGGTTATATTAAAATATTTCTATTTCATATGGTGCCTTTCAGCGCACAATGCAAAAACTGTCTGCTTCATTTTTGAACACCAAACAAATATATGTACACGAAAGACTGACGAAGTTTGCGAAAATGATTTTGCTAACCTTGCCAGGTTTCGTCAGGGTGAGCGTTCAAGGTGATTAGTTTTACTTTTGTGACTCGCCCATCACTATCGCCCACTGCCCTGAATTTCAAACACAAAATGACAACCGGTATGTTCCCATAGAGGATATTGATTTGCATTTACGGCCCTGCTGACACAACGGGGCGGTCAGATTGGGCCCGCATGCGGACACAATAGGGTGGGCAGAATGGGTCTGCGGACACAATGGGACGGAGAGAATACTGAATAGGCTTGCGGACACAATGGGGCGGACAGAATGGGCCTGAAGACACAATGGGCCCGCGGACACAGTGGACCTGGAGACACAATGGGGCGGACATAATGGGCCAGGAAAAGTTTGCAGACACAATGGGCCATGCGGACATAATTGTCCGGAACACACGTATATTATTTTTGTCCTGGCACTTGCTTGTGGGTATCAACCTTTGGTTTACACACAAACTTCACAAAACGGCATTAAATGTTGGCATTTTCAGCTGCGAAACGCAGAAAATGCGTAGGCCTGCTGCTCCAACTAAGCCCTGGTAACCGTGTGCAGGGGGGGGGCGATTTTTTATTCCGTACCACATTCGCTTTGGTAGAGCTGTGCACAAAATGGCATACATTTAGGTTCAAAGATCATAAGATAAAAAATCGGCACGTCAATTTCGCGCGTTGTGTATGTGCATGATTTGTGTACATGTATTCTGTACATGCTCACATGCACCCACATGCTCGCACGTGCATGGTTTACATAAGCGTGTACTTGAAGTTAGTCGGCTTCGTGAACGTCGTGTATGTCGTGATGTAGTCCTCAGTACGTGCCCACACTGGCATTTAGGCCGATTGTCGGGGGCAGATCCAGGGGGCGTGGGGGCGCATGCCCCCCTTTTTTCACCCCAAAAAATTAATGAATAAATAAATTAAATAATTTTAAACAGAAGACGGAAAGGGATGGAGAAGAAAAAAGAGGAGTCATACTGCCTGAAATTGTACAACAGAGCGGCCTAGAATAAAAAAAAAATGCCCCAGATCCCTTGCTGCAAGGGCTTCGCGCTACGCGCTCACGGGCATTACCATTGCTGCTTTTGTTCACAGCCACCCCGCTTGGACCCCCCTCCCTTGGGCAAAATCCTGGATCCACTTCTGATTGTCGTCGTAGTTGTGGAATTTTTAACTGTGTTTTGAATAATGTCTTCAAGATCCTCCGTGCTTGAATGATCACACCAATATATACCCCCCATGTTACATTCTGTTCATTAAAAGAGATTCCTATGATTGGAACATATCCGCTAAATTAGCTTCGGCTTAAACTTGGGTTGTCCCCTTTAACATAAACTACGAAGGCCAGCAATATTTTCAACACACACGTAGCCGACTTGAAATAAATAATTCTGCGGAAAGAGAGCTGAGCCTGCTTAGTCCCTTGTTATTAGGGGAATTGTGTGCATTTCTTTTTGCCCTGTACATGCATGTACATCATGTACATGTACCAGTAGGCTTAGGGCTGTTGTAGGCGACATCGATGTGCAGCTACAGTTTGCACTTCTTTCTGTGATTCATTGCACAAACGTCATTTCGCATGGCTAGATTTTCGAGTCGAATTTCATGTACATGTACAATAATCACAGACAGAAATTAACATATATTTACTTCAAGCATGAAGTTGCGACTTGTTCTCATACGTTGCACTTCTCATGAGCTTAACAACAGTGGCATGGGGTCCTGCAGACATGTACCAGCTGTACAAGTGGTGTACATGTCGCGTGTACATGTACATGTGTACATATGTACGTACATGTACATGTACTGTACATGTAGAGTACAAAACGTAAAACGCGAGTACAGCTGGCGGCCAGCGTAGCCTCTGGGTCAAAACTCTCTCATGAATCATGCATGACTTGATATAAACTTGGCCCAATCAGACGGCTTTATTTGCACGCATAGCGAATATGTGGTACGTTAAAAAAATCGCGTGCGGGGGCGGGGTCCGGCTCTGATCAGCCCGTCAGTCAGCTGATGCTGAAGAAAATGTTACTGTTAATACGGGGAAATCTGAAATTAACAGTGGCGTGGCTCGGGGGGGGGGCGCACGTCCCCATGAAAAATCGTTAACCCCCCACCTGCATATCTTGATGTGATCACGATTATGTTTATGTCCAACATCCAGTCAGCCCTCCCCCACTTTAGCGTGAAGCCCCCTCCGCCCCACCCCCTCCCCGTGCTCAGAATCCTGGCTGCGCCCCTGGAAATTAACCAACACCATCCATTCTCCAAGATCAGAATTTAATGTCGTTTTAACGAAAGTTTCAATGCCATTATGAGACTAAGAACTGGAGAAAGATAATAGTCTCCGAAGTTTCGAACATCGAGCCGACACTCAGGACGCGAATTCGATGGAGGTTTAAAACTTGGCAGGCCGGCCAGTTCACCCGCACCCGAAGAGACTGAGTGCAAAGGCCCTCGCCTTGACATGCTCTCGGTGATGCCCAGGGGGGTAAATTTGTGCTTAAAAATGGGGGTGGAGTGGGGAAAGGTGGGGGTGACTTGCCCAGTCATGGAAATTTGAAAACTGGGGGGGGGGGGGGGGNTGATACGACACAATAATAGGGGGCGATGTTTATGATACAGATATACATCTGTAATGTGTCATGATTCCTGTAAATTGTACATCAGAACGGTGTGGTTCACCCTTATGGGTGCTGATGGATACATTTTGGGTCAAACGCATTTTCTAAAATCCGCCTTAAGTTTTTTCTCACGAAGAAAAAAATTAAAGGGGGATTCAACAGCTTACCTCCCCCAAAAAGAAAGTATGAGCCTTGAGCTGGATTATGAAAATGGCAAAAATTTC